CTAATGGCAAGTGAAATTAGATCCTCAAGGTTAGCGGTCTCATCTCTAGCCGCCAGCTCGTCCTTCACCTCCTCACTAAGGCCACGATAAAAAATTCCTTGAAGTGCCTTGTCATCCCACCCACACTCAGAAGCTAAAATCCGAAAGTCAATGGAAAATGTGGAAACAGAATTTGAGCCTTGACGCAAAGAAAGCAAACGGCTACTGGACTCTTTAGCCTGCAGAGGATGGTCGAAAACTCGAATCATTTCAGCGGTAAAAGAACTGAGCCTGTTACAAACTGGAGAGTCACTGTTAGATAATGCCACAGCCCAAACCGACGCCTTCCCAGAGAGTAGACTCATTATAAATGCTACTCTAGACCTATCAGAGGAGTAGGTGAGAGGTTGCTGATCAAATACTAACATACATTGATGTATGAACTGTTTACAGAGACCTATCTCCCCAGAGTACCTGCTAGGTGTGGGTATGAAAGGCTCACGGCATTGTGACGTCGCGAAACCAGTGGGAGGCAAGGCAGGTGCGGGGCTTGGGTCTGGAGACTGGGCCTGGTCGGGAGGTCCAAGCGGGGCAAGTTGACTGGCCACGTCATTTAAACGAGCGCTGAGCTGATTCATTCCTGTGGTGATGTTCTGGAGCGACGCCATGATCTCTTGAAGGGCGGCTCCATGCTGTCCAACAAGAACTCCTTGTGAAGTAACAGCTCGTTTGAACTCCTCAGTCTCAGCAAGAGCCTGCTTGAAACTTTCAACCTCTGCGGGGTCCATTGTGGCCAGATTATTCTGTTTGGTTTAGCAATTGGACCCCAAAGCAGAGACTGCTACGGACAAAAGTTTAAAGAGTTTATTTCCCAACAAAACTGGAGGCAGGCAGTGGTGGCAGTCAGTGGAGGCAGGGAATAGGCCGACTTCAACTCCAACTCAGGCGGTATCTAGGCAAACGGGAGAAAAACTGGTAAGTATCCAAAACAAAGGTAACTGCAACTAGATGCAGCTGCTTCAAAAAGCTCCCGAGCACGATGGAATAATCTGGCAGTGAGGTGCTGAGAAATCCAGGCAT